GTATTTCCTGTTAACTCATGTAAAGCACTTTGAATTGCCTTGTTGCTGAAAATGTGCTATATAAATAAAATGACCTTATCTTAAAATACACTAAGCACAAAATTAGTTGTTCTAACACACTTCAAGTTAACTAATCCTAAGCAAACTTGAACTATACTCATGATTAGTCTGACTTAAAGTAGGCTAAAATGTTATATACTTAGTATATTTATTTTCACCTGGGCTTTTACGCCCCAAGGGAGGGAAACATGAATTAGTGGAAAGTGGACTTTTGACTTTGATATCTTTAATCTTTAAAGGAAGAAGCCCCTACAGACTGTGAAGAGTCGACAATGTAAACACACTTTGATATTATCCTGCTGGTGACAATTCTAACACTGGTAAATGACAGCAAATTAGAGGCCTTTTAAGTCCCTGATTAGCATTTCATCGACTCACCGAGTAGGAAGATTAGTATTCGGGAGTGTGAGAGAAAAGACAGTTTGTCACTCTTGCCCCGCACTGTCTTTCTCTTATGTTTGAACATCTACTTCCGTTTTCAACCTAATACATTTTTTCAGTTCACAAAATCTAATATTCAAGCCCAGCTTTTGGTAGGAGTTACTGCTTTGTTCTGGGTTCCTCGTAAAGTCTGGAAATTGAATAAAAGGAACAAGTATGCAAAAATATTTTTTTAATTTATTCATTTCCATTGCTAAATAGTTGTGACTGTTGGTGCAAATAAAAGTTTAGCTTTTTGATCCATCCATCGACCTGTTGATCTGTCCATCCATAAGCCAGCCAGGCAACAAACAAACAAGCAAGCAAACATGCCAGTCTGTAGAATTGTGTAAGAACCCTGTTTATTCATGTTTCTTGCTGTACCCATCCATAGTTCAAGCATTATGCTAAAATGAGTAATGTGGCTCTCCCCTAATAAACTGTGACAGCACAGAAATTTGGCCTGGCTTGTGTCTAGAGTGTTTCCTCTCAGAATTACACTGCATCCTCATTAATTTGTCATAGTGAGGGAAACTATAATGCACACTCCAGTTTTAAGCCACTCTTTTCACAAGGCTGCTTAAACAATCACTCATAGGTATTAGCAAAACAAACCTTTCAGCAGTGGTAGACAGGTTAGGGCTGCAGAGGAAATGCTATTCAGCGGTAAATATTTAAGCAGCCCTGAGGCATGATGGCAAGTATTCCCAACAAGGCCCTCCACTTGCATTGGAAGTGTAACTCAAGAGCCATCAGAAATGCAGGGAGGAGCAGGGAGCGTATGGGACACTGGAGTTAGGAGGTATGGAGGCCAGCATCAGGATAATAGTGCTGTCATTCTTTTACCAACATGACAAGAAAACTAAATGTTACCTGCAGCAGGATCCAGTCGACAGATGTCTTTGTTCATCCATCCATATATTTTATAGAAGATGCCGTAGTCTCCTGAACGTTGAGAAAGCTGGGAAAGCTCAGACATCTGATCAGAGGGAAGTTAAAAAAACAACTCTGACCTACTTGTACGATAGTCATTGAAAAGTCAAAAAAGTGTACAACCGGGTTTGAGTGTGTTCAGGGTAGTGATTTTCTTGGTAACACTTTATTTGAAGGGGGTTGAATAAGACTGTCATGACACTGTCATAAACATGACATAATACTATTTTTTAAAGTTTAATCGGTAATGCTTTTATAACAAATTTATGTCAGATCATGATTTCTTGGTTAATGACAAGTTGTCATAACGAAGACATTTTTGGCGAGGTTAATGACAAGTTGTCATAACGAAGACATTTCGAATAATGTCAACTTTGTATTAAAAGTGTCATTTTTTTACCGAATGACGCTTTATGACAACAGTCATAACTATTCATGAAGACTTATTCATGTTCATGACAGGTGTTATGTCATGTTTATGACAGTGTCATGACAGTCTTATTCAACCCCCTTCAAATAAAGTGTTACCATTTTCTTTTCTTGCTTTTTGCCCCTAAGTAAAAACGCAGAACACTTTCTACAGGTGTATTTGCTTTACAAAACCTGCTCATGCTCTTAGTGCCAGTAAAAAAGTGTCGCCACTTGGAATGTTTTTTTTTTTTTTTTTCCCCCCCCAAAAAGCTTTGTTGTTCATGACGGATTTGTAAAAGCAATAAAAAGGGTTAAAACATCCAAGGGAGTGAACTTTCTATACCTTTTAGGCATTGAACATTGGCAAAATAGTGTTTAAAAAAACTTTTTTATTGGTGTTCATTTGAAATAACATTTCATCACTGAAGCTCTTACAAAAAAACTGAAGGTTTCATGTTCCCCAATCCAATGATTTTTCACCTTAAAATCTCCACAAACTATGGAGAGTACAAACTGAATCTGCCCTGACTAAAAAGAGATAAGCTTCAAAACATCACTTTTCTCTAATACTTAAGACTACTGTTTTGCCCCAGTATGAGACTCCATCAACAGCACATCTCTTATTCATGCACTCCTCAAGCCTAAAAGCCTAGCCATTGTCTTCCTACACTATTCTGATCAGTTGTCATCACCATTCAGTTCTCCATCTGGGTTTTGTGTGGTAGAGCTGGATTTTTCAGGATGAATTTCTGGCCAGTCAGAAAACATGACCTGGGCTGAAGGAAGGAAACATCTAAATCATGCAGAGCAGTGTGCCTTGAGGACCAGGGTTGGGAAACATTGTGTTAGGCGTTTGGTTGCTGGAGAGGAATCCTCAAGAAAACGTGTTAGCGGCTGCGGAACACCTAAAACTGGTGTAGAGGTTCACCTACGGGCAAGACAGAAGCACCAAAACATCCTGCCAAAGATAGAATGGTTGGGTTGTGTTAGAATGGCTCAGTCAATTTTAAGTGCCAGACAGATGTTTTTCAATTCTCCAAATAAAAATGGGCAAATATGCTTGTAGGTCTGCGAAGCTGGTAGAGAGATTTAGCTTACCTGAATTTTACTAATTTAAAAAGTTTGATCCCTTCTATTTAGCTAGAATCAAAGTGTAACCTTTCCTCTAGTTTTCCACAAGCTGAGAAAATGATACAGTCTTCCTGTTGAGAAAAAAAAGGCCAAGTCTTGCAAGCATATGTGCTTTTGCCTCATATGATCCAAATTCTTCTTAGGGCACAGCTCCCGTGTATAACCCCATGTTTTAAATGAGAACCAAATGTTAGTTTAAGCTTTTCCTCACTGTTCGTGTGTGCTGTTTGTTTGGATTGGTCCGGAATGCCCCTAGACAATGCCAACCAGCTCAGTGGAGGTTGGGAAAAGCTGATTCTCTGACCCTCATGGAGTTGTTGGCCACACCATTAAGCTATTTAAATGGTTGATTGGAAGGGAGGCTGGAGCAGTTCAGTTTGTTGGATCATTTTGAGAAAAAGCATACATAGGAATGGTAGGTGCAGATTTTTTGTGGTTCTGCAAACCTGAGCTGTAAACCCAAACCATTTCAAATCACACATGCAGTGGGGCATGTGTCACTTATGTGAACTTTGCACTTACAGCAAATGGCTTTTGTACATTTTAATGTAAACTTTTTTGTTATATTCACTTTTTAAACTTTAGTTAATTTTCTTCAGTTAAAAAGTTTACACACTGTAAAAGGCTTCTGTTTTATAACTGCTTATTAAAGGGGACATGTTATGCAAAATTTATAATTTACATGTTTTGTACTTCCAATTTTGTCTTTACTGCTTCTGAAAACAACCCAAGCACTTAAAAAAATCTACCCTGAAATTTTTGGCAATGACAATATTTTTGCTGTCTAGAAAATGAGCCATTTCAAAAACCTTATTAATGTAATGTCACAAAACAAAATCCAGTTCACAAATCAGAGATGTACAAGTTCATTGCACTTGACTTATAACAGAGATGAACTCCTGTTACCTGGTGTGGGTCTTCGGACTGTGATTATAAGTCAACGGCAGCCCAACCACGTCATGCGTCCTCGTTTTGCATTGCTAACCTTGAAAAATGATGGCCTAATTTGGTGTGCACAGCTTGCAGAACTGTACAGAGCGTCTACATTATGCATTTGCGGCACTTTCCTGCAAGGTTTTTCAACAGATTTACGAAGACCATGTTGAAATATGTGATGAGGCAAAATATTACTTATCACATCCAAATTGGCGTTCACTCACCTCATTGACTTCCTGTATTTTAAATGCTTACGTGATCTAGGTGTGTACAGGGAGCTGAGCGAATACTTTTGATAATATTGTGTGTTTTATTTTCCTCTAGATCTAACAGCCAAATTGATCTCTCATCTGTCTGTCTGGGAATCAAATGTCAGGATGGAGCAGCTGTTAGAGGCTTCCCTTGTACCCGTGGCACAATGCAGTCAGACAACGAGCTGCATAACATATTGAATCATAGTTGATATCGCAGTGTAATTGTATGGAAATCAATATTGTCATCAAAGGACTGCTTGGAAGCAATATTTGGTAGGATTGTATATGTCAAGTGTCTTCCATTCAAGTATCTGTCCAGCTGGATGTGTTTTAACAGGCCTTTATGCCAACTCCTGAGCTGTGGGGGGAGGATATTTTGTAATTATAAAGTATGAAAGACTGGATTGTATTGTATGTCCTGACAGCATGAAAATTAAATATCTTTCTGAACTTAATCAAAACTGAATCTTTAGAAATGTGTGTAGAGCTGAGTGTTAGAAAAACCTAAGAAAAGAAACATTTCGCAAAGTTGTTCTATTGGGTTGAAGTCAGGACTCTGTTCAGGCCAGCCAAGTTCACCCACACCAGACTCTGCCCTCCATGTCTTTATGGACTTCCTGAAAAACAACTTCACACCATAGTCCCCCCTCCACCAAACTTTACATTTGGCACAATACAGTCAGAAAAGTACCATTGTTCTGGCAACCGCCAAACCTAGACTCATCTATCGGATTGCCAGATGGAGAAGCGCAATTTGTCACTCCAGAGGACGTGCTTCCCCTGCTCTAGAGTTCAGTGGCCGCGTGCTTTACACCACTGCATCCGATGCTTTACATCACTTGATGATGCATGGCTTGGATGCATGCATCATCCAAGCCATGGATGCATGGCTTGGATGGGCCTGTTCATGAGGCCCACATGAAGTTTGAAGGTTTGTAGTGATTTACTCTGCAGAAAGTTGTCAGCCTCTTTGCACAATGCGCTCAGCATCCGCTAACCCTGCTCCGCCAGTTTACATGGCCTACCACTTGGTGGCTGAATTGGCCTCAATATTGACCTATTTTACATAATTTTTTATAGGGATTCACAATATATCGGTACTAACATCAGTTTTGGCCAGATGTAGTTGTTTTATCGGGACACACAATATATTAATACTCTTATTGGCTTTGGAAAATTTTAGTCATGTTTTATAGGGATGCATAATATATCTGCACTAATATCAATATCACCAAACTTTAATAACTTTTTTAGGGATTCACAATATTTCTACTCTAACATCAACTTATACATTGGTATAGGCCTTCTTCATCCGGAGGTTGACGCTGTCAAGACGAGAATTTGCACATATTCTAGTCATTTTTAACTTATTGATATCCGTCCAATAAATAAAAATGGGATATTTAGGCATGCTGTGGTGGCGCAGTGGTAAAGCACAACCCATATAAGGATGACCCTTTCCGCATGTCTTTCCCCTCTCTCATTACCTACTGTCTTGTCAGACTACTCTCAAATAAAGGTCACTAGAAGCAATAAAACCTTTAAAAACAACAACAACAAAAAAACTGTATTTATTTCCATCTTCTTGCTGTTTGTTTCTGACAGTGATGCATTGCATTATTATTATTGTGAGGAGTTAAACTGAAGCAGAGAACTCAGCAGTGTGATTGTTTTCTTTCAAGGTGTAGAAAGGATCTGTGCTTTCTTGTATATATATATATATATATATATATATATATATATATATATAT